CTATTATTCTCAAAGGTCAGCTGTTACATTCTATCAAACAACAAGCAGAGTTTTAAAGCACACGAAACGTCTAAAGGTAAAGGTAAAGGTTTCCCCTTGACATTAAGTCTAGTCGACTCCGACTCTGAGGGTGGTGCTCATCTCCATTTCTAAGCTGAAGAGCCGGCATTGTCTGTAGAATCCTCCTAGGTCGTGTGGTCGGCATGACCACGTGGAACACTGCTACATTCCTGTTGTAGTGGTACCTATTGATCTACTCACATTTGATCTACCCCCCCCCCCCCCCCGTCCCATGGTGTAATTGTAGCCTCTGATAATGGCACAGGTCCTATCTGTCAGCCATTGTGTGTTGTGACATAGAACAGGGCAATGTGCTGTGCTGGAAAGGGAGGAGGGTTTCCCCCTCCTCTTCCTGCTCCCTTGCACACACCGGATATGCCCTGGATCATTGTAGATCCACCAAAATGTTTAATTATACTGATTTAAAGGTAGAAGTCTTGTTTATCTTTTCCTTGCAGACTGCTCTTCTAACTAAATGAAGGTAATGTGTTAGATCTTCTATCAGTTCCCCATTTAAATCTCAAATATACAGCTTTTACTTTCCCTTGCTCACTTAGCAACTTGAGACTGGACAAACCTAGTTTAAATTCACTTAGGGCCTCATCACAAAGGCCAGGTGATGTGTTCCATCTGATTAGGCCTTTAGGTGGTACAGGGTGTCAAACTAGTGTTATCCACTAGTTTTATGCTATTATGATGTTGTTTATTTTATTGTGTCGTGTTTTTAATTTATGTCTGTTCGGGTTTGCCCCCATGTAAGCCGCCCGAGTCCCTTTGGGGAGATAGAGGCAGAGGACAAAAATAAAGTTATTGTTATTGTTGTTGTTGTTGTTACTACTACTATCCAGACATTTTGAACCTCAATACCCATAAGGATTGGGGGGAGGGGGAGGAATGGAGATTGTGATTGAATATTATTTCCTAACCACTAGCCATGATGGTTCAGAATTGTTGCCAAAAAGTTCTGGAGGTCACCAGGCTAACAATCCCTGATATAAGTTAAGGCTGAAGGCTTGTTTCAACTAACTTTAGACAAAGAACAGATAAATCACCCTAACAGTTGATCCTTTTCCATAAATCTAAGTTGAGAGCCATCACTGAATAAAAGGACAGCTTGGCTGAGCAGTATTGAACCATTCTTCTTTCCCTGTTCGCTAAGGTGGAAACAATGTAGTTGGTGATGTACTTGTAACTACACTTGATAATGAGAATCTGTATGTGCTTTCCGATTAATGAACTGTGCTAAAGTGAAAAGTTCCTCGTTTCAGGGCTTTTTAAGGCACTATGTGCTAAAAGGGGAAAAAGTAGAAAACCTTTTCATTTGGAACAAATAAAAAGCACTCAGAAAGGCGGAAGAAGCAAATTATAAGCATCGAGACTCCCTACTTACTTATATGTTTTCAGTTAACAAAATGGTGATGCAACAGCTCACAGCAATTTGGAGACTGACCTCCTTCCTTTTGAAAATGTCACATTACTATAAAGCTTTAAAGGTCAGCAATTTTCATTTAGAATTTAGAGGGTTCCCCCCCCCTCAAAATAAACAAGCAAACACATAAACACAGTCATATGCAGCAAGTGGTATCATCCATGAAAACAACCAGATATTCTCAGAGAAAACAGCATATATAATAAAAGAATTTGCATTTTTTCTAAACATCTATTTATAAAATTGAATTAAATCCAGAGTTGATGTATAACCACGCAGTTACGTAAATCCAATTGTTAGGCCCAATCCAAGTAGACCAGTGCTTTTCAACTTGGGGGTTGGAACCCCTGGGGGGGTCGCAAAGGAGGTATCAGAGGTATCCTTTTTGGGAGACGTTAGCTGGCACCGATTGATTCTCATCTGGAATTCCCCTGTTTTTTGAGTGTTGCTCTTTATTTACTGTCCTGATTTTAAAGTTTTTTTTAATAATGGTAGCCAGATTTTTTTTTTCATTTTTATGGTTTCCTCCTTTCTGTTGAAATTGTCCACATGCTTTTGGATTTCAATGGCTTCTCTGTGTAGTCTGACAGGGTAGTTGTTAGAGTGGTCCAGCATTCATGTGTTCTCAAATAATATGCTACGTCCATGTTTGTTGAAGATAGGACTGTAGAGCACAACTTCATAAATTTGGAAATAGGATTGTTTAGAATCAGTGTGTATGGAGGACCAGCATATCTTACACACATTCTCGCAAAGACATAGGACATCTATCTCAGCCTGATAATATAATACAGTATACTGTGCTTTTAACATATTGTGTTTAGTTGATTTGACATTTTGTGTTTTTGTATTTATGACATTTATTTAGTTTAACCCTTAGTTGTGGTCATTTATAAGCTTATTGAGTTTACTTATTATATGTTTTGCCTTGAGTGCTGCTTATTTTTTATGGCATTGAATGTTTGCCATTTTTCTTTTTCTTGTGGACTGCCCTGAGTCTCTTTGGGAAAAGAGAGTGGACTATAAATAAAGTATTATTATTATTATTATTATTATTATTATTATTATTATGCATGTCAAACTGCATTAAACCTACAGTATAGATGCACAATATATAAGTACATCTACAGTACATCTACAAGTACTACCCTGCACTCCAACCACTGTTCTGCATTGGCTATATTTTAAAGGTCTTAGTATTTGCTTTAATGACAGCCTGACATTGGAAACTCACCAATCTCCTGAACCAGGACATCCTGTCAGTTATTTGTATTATGCATACTTGCATCCATTTTGAATAATTTTGATAACACTGAACAAATCTGTAGACTTGATATCTAGGATAAGTGGCCGAACACCATTTCTTAAGTTCCAATAAGGGTAGATCCACTGACACCATGAGGTAAATCACACATCTAGTGGCTATTAAAAAGGCTTAGCAGTAGAACAGAGTGTGCAATTAAAAACAAGAAGAAAAGAAAATGACAACCATTTGTAAAACAGTGGGCCTTCTAACCACAAGCATGGTGTTAAACAAGATTTTGATTAATTTTTAGTTGTACAATCTGGACTTCCATGGCTGTTATTTAGGCATGTGCTGTTATTCTTACAGTGTATCAAGAATGGAGACATTGATTTATTTGCAAATAAAAGATTTGTGCAAAGAAAGAGTAGGGAGCTTACACATAAAATGGGCTAATGATTTGTTTTAAATGCCAAGAGAGTGATTTTTCATTCCTTGAAACATACCTCTGGGGAAAAAAAAAACAATTTGGGGCTGTATTCTGTATTTGTTTATTTAGGCCACATCTACATGGGCTGCTCAATCAGAACTGAAATGTTCCAGACCGACTCGCACACTCACTCTCCAACCTGTGTTGGATGATCCAGCCATGCCAAGACTGCTTTGGCTCAACTGAACCTTAGCTTTGGTAGTAATGTCTTCATGGCCATCTGATGACATGGGTCTCATTCCTCCTCTTTTCTCTCCATTCATCATTGTAGGGAAAAGTGAATGACAGTATCAGTGACCTACATGGACAAAGAACCAGTCCTCATCATGCCAGGTCCTGCTATCCATGCTGAACTGAAAGCTATAGAGTTGTTCTGGAGTTTTGGTCAAATTCCAGAGTACCCTCCGATTTTTCTTGACATAGAGCTACACTAGATTAACTCAGTTTACCCCAAAATAAGCACCAAATGTCATGAAGATAACCAAGAGCAACTAAACAGTGAGTACAGGCTTAGTGCCATGTAGACATAACATGCAAGTAAATATACTTAAACTAGGGAACTGTCTCTCAAACGTGATAGAAACATTATATTCATCTCCGAGGTGTTGTGTGATTTCCAGGCTGTGTGGGCATGTTCTAGCAGCATTTTCTCCTGATGCTTCACCTGCATCTGTGGCTGGCGTCTTCAGAGGACCCTCAGACACAGGTGCAAGTGAAACATTAGGAGAAAATGCTGCTAGAATACGGCCATACAGGCTGGAAACCACACAATACCCCAGATATTAATATAATGTTTCCATCGTGTTTGAGGGACAGTTCCACACAATACTCCAGTGATTCTGGCCATGAAAGCCTTCTACAATACAATATTTATCTCTGCTTCGATCACTAGGAGAATTGATCTCTGTTTCCCTGTGCAGTTGATGCCTGATAAAATGTATTGGGGTGGAGTTACAATTGTGGCAATAATGTCACAATTGTGATTAAGTAGCAGCTGTAAATATGGAAGTTAGGTATGAGTAAATCTAGGAAACTTTTCTGTATTGTCACTAATCTCTGTGCAAGCTCTTCCACTTCTTCCCCTACAATGGCACTATCACTTATAGCAGGAGTTATACACATAGATCAAAAGCATATCCTTAGTGTAGTGTATATAACAAAGCCTTCCATAGCTTCTCAAGATACATTCCAGAGGGCTTGAAAACCTTACCTTCTTGAGTGGCAGGGAAGGCCGGGGAAGGTAAAGGTGGATTTGTCACCTCTCATTTCCATCATAAGATTCTGGCCAGTGCAAATAGCTGACAAGAGTTAATAGATTTTTAACATGACATGAGAAGGCCACAAAAACAGGCACTCAAATTTTCTGAAATTTAACTCCAACCAAAGTATTCACAATTTTGACAATCAAAAATCAGGGAAGAAAACATGGACCACACATTTTAAGTCTTCAGATTTTATTGTCACTAAATTCTGTGGCATGTTCTTACATTTCTCCCCCTACAATGGCACTGTCACTTACAGCAGGAGTTTTACACAAAGACTGAGGACATACCCTTAGTGTAGAACACATTGTAAAAATGTAAGAATCACAGGTATTACACCCTGGTGTGAACGGATCCCACTGGATCAAACAGAACGAAATAACTTATCTTATATCTACAGGTTAAAAAAGAAGTACCCATTAAGAGAAATATCAAATATTCTGACTGTATATTTTACACTAAAAATCATGGGATTTTATTTTTAATTTTTTAGGCATACTACATTGAAACCTACTTCCAATTCAGTGCAGCTACTATCTTGCTCCTCACAATCGCAGAGCATTTCATGCTTAAAATCAATCAGGCAGCCATACAAATACATAGCTTATATTTGTGCTCAAATTGTTCTCTGTTGTATGTCATCTGGGGATGAGACATCAACCTGATGGCCTTATGCACATGAAGTGCACCCATGGAACATAATGCTTTTAATTCTGCAACAACTCATTATAAAGCTATAGCTCCAAGGATTGTTTTTTACTATGACTATTTCAATATTAATCATTTTGTAATTAGACCGTGTAAAGGGGAGAAAGAACTGTTTTCCTTGTTGTGGAAATGTTCTCATATTTTTTGATGTAACTGCTGATAGGCTTATCAAAAATGCAGGCCCAATAATAAAAACACATTTAATTTATGCTAGTTATTTATTTATTAGTTATTTATTGTAAAGCCCTAGATAATTCCATTTTAATTTACTTAAAGTGGGCTTAAATCTCTGCTCAGATTCTTTGAATAACACATTTTCATAAATTATTTGGGGGAGGGGAGGAGAAAATACTGAGAATGATTCAGCCTACATTAAACAATTTATAGTCCCATTGATTTTAACAGGAGATTTAAACATGTACTTCCCTATCTTTCATTGAAATCAATGAGTCATTAGTATTTGTTGAGTACCCCATCAAAAGAACAAACTTCCATTCAGAACAACCATTAGACAAGTCCCATAACTCCAAGTTCAATGGAGCTTGCTTTCAGATAACTGCATTTAGGGACTATGTTTACTGCAAGCTGGATCATTACCAATGTAAACTATGTGCAACAATTATTTTAAAACTTTCAAAGAAAAATCCATCCTAAATGAATTTAATAATAGAGAAGGCAGAGACTTCTGTCTTTGCTTAATACATAAAATGCTAGCACCAGAAATATACTTATTTAAAACTATGTTGAAAATGTATTTTTTTCAGTCACTTCTCAAAAATTACTTCTCAAAAGTGGATATGTTAATATGCACATCAGTTGACAGAAAATCTTACAGAATTTCAGTTGATTTTCTTTTTTCAATAAAAAATGGAAATAAGATCAAATACCAAACTCCAGAATGCGACTGAAGTCAACAGAGGAGGGTATAAACCCTGACTCATTCGGTGGACCTTTATTCTGACTAGAACTAACAGTGTGTCCCAACAGAGGCAAAGGTGGACATTTCCCGACGTATAGTACTGAAAGGGGAGAGTTCAAGCTCTGTAGTGTACTCATTGTCATTGTCATCACTTGTTACTGTTGAAGACTTCTGAATGCATTCATCACAGCAGCAACAACAACACTCCAAAAAGGCCCGACTGAATGGTTTACAAAGACAGAAAAGGAGAACTGGAGTCACACATGATTTGAAGAATAACAGAAACTGACTAATGAGGTGCAGGAGGTCCATAGTCTGCTGCGACACCCCTGTGGACATGTAGGCAGTGACAATATTGCAAATGTTTTCAGGAATGATGCAAAAGCCATATAAAATGGTCAAAGCCACAACAGTACAGTTCATCTGGCTCTCCAGCTGAATTTGTCGCTTGTTTCCTCTTGTACAGGCCTTCTCCACTTTTCGGATTTTCCTTGCAGTCACCAAAGAGCAAGTAATGGTAAAAAGGGTAGGCAAGCAAAAGTAACAGCCAAAGTACCACCAGAGCCTTGCGCCATCATAGGTAAGGGCCAAGACGTAGATTGTGTCAGGTAAATGTGGAGAGATCTTTACCACACACCGTTCTACAGGAGGGCTCCCACTGATGTCAGAGTCTTCTTTCGTCAACTGGCGTAGAACCACCTCAGGCAGTGCCAACAGTAGAGCTCCAACCCATATCACAGCCAGCTTGGCAGTTGTGGATGCACAGTTTTCAATCATCTCGTAGTACATCTGCACATTAGTGGCAGCACGGAAGCGGTCTATGCAGAGGGCACACAGTGTAAAGGTGGTCACGCCAAGTGATGCAACCTGGATAAGAAGGAAAAATATGAGACCGAGTTTCAAAATAAGGAAGAAATGCCCACACTATAAACTAGCTGTCTGTTTCTCTACCCTGATTTCCTCTGAAAGCTTTCCCCATGTTGCAACAGTAAAGAGATGAAAAAAGATTAAAAATAGCTAAAAATGTTTAGCTGTAGCAATTCATAAGATACTTCAGATGGGAAAAATACAATTTGATCTTAAGTTTTGATTCTTTAAGTTGTTACTAATATGGAATGATAAAGGAAAATTCCTTCTCTGCAATAGCTGCCTATAGCAATCTCTTAGAAACAAATTTTTCCATTGGGGATTCTAGTCCCTGGTGAAAACCGGGGCTTGGAGAGATCCTTCAAAATGGATTACTTGAAGAACATCTGATCTAGGAAGTTTAGTAGGATCAACACTAGTTTGTATTTGGATGGAAGAAAACCAACAAATACCAAGTGGCATAGGCTATATTTCAGAGGAATGAACTGGCAAAACTACCTCTGGAGATTCCTTGCCCAAGAAATTCATGAGGTCACTGTAAGTTAACAGATGACATGAAGGCATACATGTGTTTGTGTGCAGAGAAACAATTGCATTTAAATCAGTTTCATATTACTGACTTCAACAAGATTGCTGTCCTGATCCTAAAAATTCCAACCAAGATGAAACCAGTGTTCAAGAGAAATCAAATACCCTGTTACCACTGCATGGTTTCAAACTGCACCATGATAGGGTTTCAAAGTTTCACATGTTGTATCACTAGACTACAGTTTTTATTGTTCCAGCTTTCTTTACTGCCAAATTTTATGCAGGTTTTCATGGTGAAAGGAAGTTCTTCCCAAAGCTGTGCTTTTGAAAATAAATCTTTCACTGTATGCTGGAGCCCTGAAGGAATACTAACAGGAACAGCAAAAAGTTTTCTATTCTTTCTTCTTTCTTCCTGTGGTGGCTTATAATTAGTCCAGTATCTGCATAGTACACCCACCTCAAAAACTGTCATGAATTATTGTACAGCTGACTATAACTTTTGTTTACTTAATGTGCACTGAGATAATCAAGATTCTATGAAAAGACAGATTTCACTGCAGTCTGATTCCCATCATAAATTTGAAATATTCTTGTTTATGTACATATAATAAAAAGTTATGCAAGAATGGAGGGTGCAATTATATAAATGCATCCCACACACTGGCCTTCAGCATTTAATGGCCATATCTGATATGCCATCAATATCACTGAAAAAAGTTGGGAACACTGGATAAAACTGAAAAACCCCCAACTTAACAAGTGATTCTCTGAAATGTCTTCTTGAGAAACATTCAGGTTCTTATTAACCTGAAATAGACGTAATATTTGATTACGCAGACCTTATTAACCTGCAATAGTATGCATGTTTGTTTATGACTCAACAGAAGTACTGTAAATATTTTTAGAAAGAGAACCTATTAATTTAGTGAGTTCAACTGTCAGAAATACATTCGGAGGAGGAAAAAAGCTTAGTAAACACAAACAAATATGCAGATAAATGGGAAAACTTTTTTGTCGGGGTAGTCAAGATTAAGGCAAAGTAAGAAGGAAATGCTAAAACAGCTAACAAATAAGCATTTTGTACATCAAAGCTAGGAAGTGTCAAAGAGAAAAATAAATCTTAAATCCTGACTGTAAAACATTTGTGCCAGCCCTAGAAGTTTCCCAAACCTACATTTATCCATTTCAAATAAGATTAACTTTCAATCTACTGAGAAACAAGATTTTGATGATCACAAAGAAAAGAATTTTAACCTGCTTCAACATAATGACTCCTAGGACCTCTTCACATGGGGCATCCCCCCCCCCTCGTTTTGCTGCTTTTACATGCAGCAAGGATGGAGCCTGCTGTGCACCATCACGCAGCACACGGCAGGCTCCGAAGACATTTTTCCCAAAGTGGAGGGGAAGTGCCAAAAGGTGCTTTCTCCTCCACTATGGGGAGGAAAGTGTAGTTTGGGTAGCTCCGATGGAGCTACCCATATTTTTCTCCCCTTTTTGCTGAGTGATGGCAGAAAGGCAGTGGGGCAATGCACATTGCTGAGCATTGCTGCCCTTTCTGCCATCTAATGGGGGAGTGCCAAAACACTCTCCTGTCCCCACCATGTGATGAGGGGAGTAGGGAGGGCATGCAGACTGTGTCAAGAGGTCCCTGTTGTGGGAGCTAGATTCAAATTCCATGCCATAGAATGAGTATCACTTTTCTGTTTTAGGGCCCTTTCACACTTCACAGGTATAGTGTTATAATTCAACCTTAACTGTCATGGCTGCATCCTACAGAATCCTGGGGTTTAAAGTTTTCTGAGGTACTGAACATCTATGGTGAGAATTCTTTTTGTGCTCTGACATTAAAAGTGGTATGATAGCACTACAACCACACAGTGTAAAAGGGCCTTCAGTCTCTGGTCCCCTAAATAGAAATGGGAACATAAGTTATTTTCTCTTAAAGTAGTTGCTAGCAGAATACAAAGGTCTGGAGAAACATTTTAAAATGTTATGTCTCAGAATCCAGTCTACTTCGTGTAATATATAAATCCTAAGGCTGTGGAAAAATTATCATTAGTCCTCATAAGTCGGATCAAATTCATTAAATTTGTACTAATGACATGATATCTGAGACGTGGGTGTGGCCTGTGCCAAAAACTTAAGGACCGAAACTTACCCAATACTTTTTCATTTGAATTTTGTAAATCTTTAAAGCTTTTCAAAGTCAGTTTCATTTTTAGTGCAAGGAAGAAAATAAAAGCCAAAAAAGGCTGCCTTTCCTCTTTAAATTGATGGCCTCTCACCATTAGAAGAGGGAAACATCAGGGAGAAAGTAAAGTTGGCTGGGAAAGAGCCTGAGAAAACAAAGAATTCTGGGAAATGTCATTTGGGAAGGTGAGGAGCCCTATGCCAGAGAATTCTAAAGGCCCTGCCCTAAACTACATTTCCTGGAATTCTGCTCAGCATCAGAAAGCCCCAATCAGGATAGGGGAGAGATTTTTCCCTCCATAGCAGCAGCCAGCCAGAGTTCTGATAAACTGTTGAATCTGCAAAGAGGGGGACTGACTGATGCTTCTAGTAAGTAAATTTCTGTTCTGGGCTTGGAAGAAATTCCTAAATGGAAGTTCTATTGGTTTATATAAGAGATATTCAGTGAGACAGCTGTTGTGGCTATATATATATATATATATATATATATAATATATATATATATATATATATATATATATATATATATATATATATATCTACGCTTGTATTGAAACTTTAAAAAATTCCCTAAAATCAGTAGATGTATGAATATTTCTGAAACTTAAGGGGAATGATTCCCTGTAATCTTGTGACATTGCATAGAAAATTCAAGGACATAGCCTTTGTAGTTTAGTTTTTTTAAATGTTGTTTATAAAATTTTCCCCAAAAAATTCATGATAAGTGCAACATTCTGAAATTTGATAGACTAACAGTGGTAAATGTATTCTACCATTTTAGCAAGTTTCGCCCCGATAGCTGTAAAATGATGGAGAATGGAGCCCCTGAAGTTTCCCCACTTGTGCAATTACTATAACGAAAAAGTAATAAAATTGCATTATTTTCATTATAGTAACGAATTTTTTAAACTAATGATTCTTTAGAAACACTATGCAAATGAAACACTGGCACCCCCTAATTTTGTAATGGACCTTGAAACATTTTTCGTCGATTGCAGAGCCCTAATAAATATTTCTGATGAGGTAGACTAGATCCCACTGAAGGTTATCCCAAACAAGATTTGTTAATATTTACAGTTTTTGCTGAAAAATACTACCATGGCTACTGCTTCTCTCGCTCTTTCTCTCTCTCACTCACACACAGACACACACTCTCTCACCAGAATTGATAAAGAATGTAAATGAGATATGATGTCTCCAGGAGGCATCCTTTTATGTCTCCCATTAAGTAGGGAAATATGTTGTTGAGAGACATGGAAGATGTGCCTTATCTGCTGTAGCACCCCACTGTATGAAATCTAACCCTCCAGAACTCTTGTCTATTTTATTGTCATTTCAGCACTGCGTGAAAGCACAGTTGTTAACAAAGAGCTTTGGAGTCTGACTGGTTTTAGACAGAACCACAAATGTGCCTTCAAGTTACCTTGACGTGTCCCCATTAATTTCATAAGTATTTCTTAGGCAAAGAAGATTCAGAGTTGGTTCCACCAGTCCTTTCCTTTGAAATAAAGCCTAAGGCACATGGTATTCCTACTAACCAGAGCTTTACAATTTTTAAAAAATAAAAAAAATAACCCACTTTTTCATGGGCCTTCAAGATAGCTCACAATGAGCTGACAGCAAGTTAAGAAGACCATAAAACATAAAATAAATTAGTCAAAATCTTAACCTGGTGTTTATTTACAGGGTTGCCAATGGGCAATACATCAATAAGTGTTGCAGAGAAAGGGCAAGTATGCAAATGAAGAACAATGGCTAATTCATATGTGAATAAATATTGTTGTTGTTTCAGACCAATTTAGACACTTTTCATCTCAGAAAGGGGGGACAGTTTGCCTCCCAGATATTGCCCCACAGCTCCCACGAGTCTCACCCAACTTGGCCATTAGTGAAAATTATGGGAGTTGCAATATGAAATATCTAGAGCAATGATTTTGGACTCACAGAAGCACTAGCTGACTTGCCAACAGTAAGGAAGTCTAAAATATTCAAAGGACCAAAGCTTGGGAATTGCTGATCTAAAGGGTCAAAGGTTTTAGATACATCCTCTGTATGAGAACCGCCAGAGATGCTCTATGGTTGAGAACTGGATATTGCATCTCAAGTTATTAGGCTATCCATCCTTTGAAAGGATAATCATGAAGCTTCCAAAATTCTGGAAAGATATGCAAAAGGTATCTTTGACAGATGATTCAAATGGTGTACTGATTGCAAGTACTGACACCTAGACAAAACACTGTCGGAAATGGTACTTAACTCACTTGGACTTACACATTGTT